AAAAGAATTAAATTGTATAATTTCTGAGCTCAAATCAGCAGTATTTCATAAGATATTAATGATATTAAGCAATTCTGGGGAGTTTGAAGTCAAAATTTGTTTTAGTTATTTAGAGATGTATTGTTAAAAAAGGTGACATGATTGAAAGATTTAGAAAGAACTAGCCTTTTGGCAGTTCTGATTTGACCACTTTTTACTTGATTTTGACCACTTTTTACTTTGTATTGGGAGAAATTTACCTTCGCGGAGGACATTTTAAAGGAACTAATACGCATTTGCGTTACATGGAGGAAAACCACGAGAAACTCCCACGGTTAGCCTTACGGCAAGGGGACTCTAATCCATAATCCGTCTATTACTGAGGATATTTTTGCGTCAGCATTGTGGTCGGGGAAAGCCGGAGGTGGATTCATATCGGTCAGCTATCGCTGGAATTCGAACTCTGTTCACCTCATTGGAAGGCGAACGCTCTATTCCCTGAGCCATCACGCCTCTAGTTAGTTTATTTTATTTTATTTTACAGCCGGCGTTGAACAGTTGACCCTAATTTTGGGTTTACGACCCCTAACCAGCATTTGCATTACATGGAGAGGAAAAGCACGAAAACCTCCCATGGATAGTCTGATGGCAAGGGGACTCTAACCCTGGATCCGTCTACCACTGATGGTATTTTACGTCAGCACTGCGGTCTTTGCGAACTGCGTGCGGAATTTGTATTGGCCTGCCATGGCAGAGATTCGAACCCGGCTCAAATCGTTGGAAGGCAAACGCTCTATCCCCCGAGCTACCACGGCCCATACCCGTTTGATTTTATTTGATTTTATAACAGTCGTTGAACAGCTCGACCCAATTTTCGGGTTTACGACTACTATTGCTCAACTCCGTAGCCTTTAATTCTGAACCTAATCCAAAAGACAGGGGAACTCCTGGATCGAGTATTGGGAGAAAAAATTTGCCTTCGTGGAGGACTTTTTGTTGGACCGATCTCGCATTTGCGTTACCTGGAGAGGAAAACCGCGAAAACCTCCCACGATTAGACTGACGGCAAGGGGAATCTAGCCCGTGATCTGTCTACCACTGAGGTTATTTAACTTCAGAACTGGGGTCGGTGCAAGGAGGATGCGGAATTCGTATCGACCAGACATCACTGTGATTCGAACCAGATTCATCTCATTGGAACACGAACGCTCTGAGTCATTGCGACTCTAGTTCGTTTATTATTTAATTTTATTTTATAACCGTCGTTAACAGCCGACCCAATTTAGGGTTTACAGCTACTAATATTAAAATCCGTAGCCTTGTAGTTTGAACTCAATCCAGAAGACAAGGGAACTAATTTATCAAGTATTGGGAGAAAATTTGCCTTTGTCGATGCCTTTCTGATGAAACTAACCGCATTTGCGTTATACGGAGAGGAAAAGTACCGATTATCCCGACGGTAAGGGGACTCCATGATTCGTCTGCAACTGAGGATATTGAACGTCAGCACTAGAAATATTTTTTGCCACAATATTGTTCTATCCATATGCTAATTCCAAAATTTTTTAATAAAAAATAAATAAGATACAAAATAAATAAGATGCAAATAAATAAGATACTAAAGATAAATAGATCTTAGATTTATGCAATTTATTTATGCAATCTTTATTTATGCAATTTACAAGTGACCCAAAAAAACCTGCAATTTTGTAATTGAAAGGAATGCCTTATTTATTAATATTAAAAAACTATTTGTTTCTGGTTCTTTGTAAAGTATGAAAATTTAGTTACATCATATTATATTAATTATAGCCCACGTGAAGCAATCGCCATGTCGCTAAATGTGAAAAAATCATAAATTTGGAGAATAAAATTGTGTTGTGGCGAACGTTGGGTTCGAATAATATAAGCCTGAAATAAACTACAGTAAAATATTTTTCCATGAGAAAAAAAAATTAATCTTAAAAAATTGTTAAGATTTGCATTCGCGAAGACTTTCAAAAATTGGCGAATACTTTTGATGTTTGACGAATTTACTGGCTAAAAATTTAAAACCCTTAGAGCGGGTCCGATTAATCCCAACTGTTTTATAGAAAATATTCAGTAAAAATTGATTTTAAAAGCAAATTATTTTTCAATAAATTTTGAAAGAAGCATAGGTTTAAAAAACACTTAGCTATTTTAGCAAATACTTAGCTAACTCAAATCAAATAAAATTATTTAATAAAAACTAAATATGATACATAATAAAATAACATAATATTACAGTTCATTTGATACCCTATTTGACCTTCTAACTCTAGGTCGAGCTTGCGACAACTTGATTTGGCTGTAAATCTCTCAAAATACGTTCTCTAAAAATTACTAAAAAATATATTTTTTAAAAACTTTTTCCTAGTTATGCTATGTTCGAAGACTGTACAAATTTTTAAAAAAATACTGTATACATTAGCAGTACTATGCGGGAGTGCATAGCAATAACTGCCGAAATAAACGGTTAAAAAAAGTAGAAAAAAAGGAAGAATTGCAAAAAAAAAGATGAATAGTCACTTAGATTTAAGATGAAATCGCACAAATAAAGTGAGCCAAAAAGTGATTATTTAAATGGATGAAACTCGCGTGTCTTAATAATATCGTAATAAAAATTCGGGATTTTCAAAATCACGTTGAAGAATGGAAATAATTGCTTACGATAATATCGGCTTAAAGAAAACACGTTAAAAACACATTTACTATAGAGTTTAAAAATTGAGTGCATGAAAACATGACTTAAAAGTGCCATTAAAAATTTATTTCGACATTTTTCTCATTTTTGAAAATTTTGTTTATGTTTTATTGTGTTTAGAAGCTCTCGCGGGCCCCAGGTTGAGCACCCCTACCTTATAAGAAATTCCTTATTATTCAACTAAACACAAGTTATTAAAATTAAATGCATTATGTGCTGCATTACCTGGAAGGAAGTAAAGAAAGGAAATGATGGGGTACCAAATTTTAAAAAAAGAGGCTGAAGTGAATGAATTGCAAATGATAGTAATTTTTTTTGATTGTCACTTAATTTTATTTAGTCAGCACGTAGCTAGTGGTGACCACTAAACTAGCCCTTTACCAACCGATACTTTATATATTTTATTTTATATTTTATAACAGCCGACCCAATTTTTGAGTTTAAAACTACTAATATTCAACTATGTAACATTGAACCCGATCCAGAAGACAAGGGAGCTCCTGGATTAAGTATTGGGAGAAATTTGCCTTCGTGGAGGACGTTTTGGTGAAACAAACCCGCATTTGCGCTACGTGAAGAGGAAAACCACGAAAACCTATGGTTAGCCTGAAGGCAAGGGGGCTAGCCCATGATCCGTCAGCCACTGAGGATATTAAACGTCAGCACTGTGGTCGGTGCAAACCGGATATGAAATTCGTATCGACCAGTCATCACTGGTATTCGAACTCGGTTCTTAGATTGAAGTATTAAAAAACATTAAAAAAATTCTTAAACAGTATTCTAAAACGCAGAGTCATAGTACATCAGAATCACTACTCAAAAAGATATTTGTATAATGGTTGACAATAAGTCTAAATACAGCAATTATAATTTATTTTTAAAAGCAACAAAAATATAAAACAATTCGCTTACAATAAACTTGCATTTATACAGTTTATTAAAATTGATTATTCATTTGATATTTGTTATTATTCGAGATGATAATTCATTTTTTACTTCGAAAAGAATTCGAGCTAACAAGGTTTTGTTCAAAAAATCTTCGACATAGAATTCAGATTTGCATTAGGTGAAAATGTAAAGAAAAAGGATTTTTTTTGAGAAAGAAAGGTTTTCGAGATATCTGGTGTATACCGTGATACATACGTAACAAACAAATTCATTAATTCTTTTCGAATTTGTTATTATGATGTAAAACATTCAATAAATATTAAGTGTTAAACCAAATGAATTAAATGAAAATACTGAACGGTACTGAAATGAAAACTGACTCTAATAAAATAAAATAAAAATCTATTTATCAACAAAGAAAAACAAAATTTTCACAATCAAAACATTGATTTCAGTTTTCCAGCGTGACTAAGAAAAAAAAATTACCAAGAACGATTAGTCAGTGTTCAACTAAATGTTTTATATGAGAAATGAATGTTTTATATGAGAAATAAATGTTATTTTGATGTAAAACAGGAAAATCGTGAGCGGTAATTAAATGAAAACTGATGTTAATGAAATATTTGTTTATCAAGAACGAAAAATAACAAAAAAATTTCTCACTCACAAACGCCGATTTCACTTTTCGAATTGTAGGGTTGCCAGTGTTGGCACATTTGATTTTCCCTTTGACTGTAAAACTCGCCAAATCAACTTTATCTCGAAAATTTAGTTGATATTTTTTTATTATAAAGAATATTATAAAGATTTTATGATAAAGATTATAAAGACTTTATTATAAGGATTGCAAAAATTTTATTATCAAGATTATTATAAATATTCTATTATAAATATATTTATAACGATTAGTAAATAACGTTAAAAAATTTGGATTTTGTATTAACGCTTTTATATGAGTACTGAGTAACCTAAAATATACCTTCTTCAAATATTTCGAAGTTTACAAATGTAACAGTAAATTACTTTCCAAAAAATCTATTTTATGTAATTAAAAGTTCAATTAGTTTTTAAATCTAACTAATTTATAAAACTACAGTTATGTATTTTGTGTGTAACATTATTAAATTAACTTTTGTTTCGTAAATCATATTTTAATATTATAATATTTGCCAAGTAAAAATTGAATTTTTAGTGTAATTATATAACAAGATCGATTTCTAATTTAATAAACACTTTCTTCTTAACAAACACAAAGATAAATTTTATCAACAACAAAAAAATATTCTGTTTATTTCGTTAATAGTGATCGAAATAATGTTAGAGCAAAATAGATGTTTTTAAATGAAAAATCCCCAATATCGAAAAAAAATTAATAAATAAATTTAAAAGTATGGATTTATCTTTCCCAGTATACGGCCTAGTAAAACTTTAGATTTCAACTTACAAAATCGCATATAAAAATATAAACTCCCTTTAGATTCCATAGTTAAAATAGCTAAAAAATATGGAATTTTACGCATTAAATTTAGATGTCAATGGAAACTGTAATTGTTTGCATTTTTTTAAAAATTCGTTCTATTTTCGTCTTAGTTTTACAGTCAACTTTAAGCAGTAAACTCAAAATTGAATCGGCTGCTCAACGACTGCTATAATACACACACTATATACACTTCCAAAAAATATCCTAATTCAGCTTAAGTAAATGTTCAGGTATATCCTAATTACTCGGGTTATTAAAATCCCAAATAAAAATAAATCTTCAAATAAAAATTATTTAAGCATTTTAAATTCAACAATATGAGAAAAATAAAAGATTACTCACTTGCAAATGGAAGATAAACTACGGATAAACTACTCCCACAAAACTACGGATAAACTACTCCCACAAAACTACGGATAAACTATTCCCACAAAACTACGGATAAACTATTCCCACAAAACTACGAATCAATACTCCTTTGGATTACTCTAGCAGAAACTGAAAAGAAAAAAGATTTTTTTTCTCAGAACACGGAACATCTGAAAGATTTAAGAGAAAATGCAAATTAAGACCTTTTGCGGGTTTTCGATTCGCTGAGAGTTAGTGACGCAGTATAGCCGTCACTCATTAGAAAATGAGACCACCTCCTTCCCCCTACCTACTGCCTTATTTACAATCGTAGTTGCAAAGAGAATTAAAACGTTAATTTTGAAATACGAATTTTAATACATCTCGCGAAATATAATTTAAAAGGGAAGCAATCTTACAACTTTTAAACAAAATTTCTTTTAAAATTCTCTTTCTTTGCAAAATTTACAAACTGTTTTTTTTAAGAACTTATACTCAACGTGTGTTTCATTAAAGTTTTTTTTAATTAAAAATCGAGTTCATTTTATATGCTTAACTTATTTATTTTTTCTTTCTATGATAGAATTATGGATTACAACTTTCAAAAATAGACGTGTGTTTTGTGCTAGAAATTAACATTTATTTAGACCAATGTTTTAATAAATTTTATGAAGAAGCCTATCTTATACAACACTAGCTACTTTTTTAAATGAACAGTTGTACACACAACTTTTTTTTTCAAATAAAAAATGTATATAATTCATTTTTGTTATTCAAATGTAGTTAAATGTAGATAGAATTAAAAGTAAATTGTTTCTTTACTTTAAAGAGACTCGTTAAAATGCTTCTTTCTCTTCTTAATATACAATCG